AAGGCTACAGAGTTCGAACATCTCAAGTAAGGGAATAAAGGTGTGCAAGAGTACTACATGGAATTCATAAGATTGGCTAAGCATGCTCCTCACATGGTTAAGATAGATAAAACAAAGATTCGCAGGTTTGTTGGCGGTTTAGCTTACCATATTAAGGATTCGACATCAGCTGCAGCAGTAGGGATGACAACCATCTCCTCTGTTGTGGGATTTGCCAAGCACTTAGAAAAAGACGGATAGCAAAGGAGAGAAGAAAAAGAGCATAACAAGAAAGCCCGGACAGCGAGCAGGTTTAATGGTGCATCCGGCGGAGGTGGAAGGGATTTATCTAATAAGGATTCATTAGCACCAGCTCAGTCCAATCATCAGTCAGGTGGTGGGTCTTCCTTCAGACGTACATAGAGTTATGGAATCCAGTCTCGCTAGAATCAGAATTTTAGGACATCATCCTCACATAGCCAGAGTCATGCTGAGCAACATTCACAACAACAAGGTCTTTGTGGAACATGTAAGCGGCAACATTCAGGTCAGTGCAAGCTCAGGTTTCATGGTTGCTATCATTGCGGAGACATTGGTCATATAAAGGCCAACTGCCCAAAGTTGAGACATAATTTCAGTGGGGGATCAACTCGTCCTTCTAGTTCCTCAGCTACTGCAGTTGCACCACCTCAGGCTCGTGGGTCTCATAATCAGACCGAGCATGGGGCAGGCAGAGGTGCAGATCGAGTTAATCAAGGAGGGGGACAACCCCGTTTGTTTGCCACACTTGATCGTCAGAGTGCAGAGGCATCTGCAGAAGTTATTACAAGTATACTTCTAGTCTGCTCACATAATGTTTATGCCATAATGGATCCAGGTTCAACGTTTTCATATGTGACTCCATATTTTGCAATTAACCACGAGCTAGAACCAGAACAACTTAGTGAGCCATTCCTAGTATCTACTCCAGTTGGCGAGTCAGTGGAAGTCACAAGAGTCTATAAAGGTTGTATAGTTTCAGTCCAAGGTCGCAACACCAAAGCCGATCTCATAGAGTTAGAAATAGTGGATTTCGATGTGATCATGGGTATGGATTGGTTATCTTCCTGCTATGCCATGTTAGATTGTCATGCCAAGATAGTCAGGTTCCAATTTCCAAATGAAGAAGTCTTAGAGTGGAAGGGTAGTTCAGCATCACTTGTAGGTAAGTTTATTTCTTACCTTAAGGCACAATGAATGATCGATAAGGGGTGTCTTGCCTATCTGACTCACATCATTAATCCAGAATCAGAACCACCAGCTCTTCCGTCTGTGCCAGTTGTTAGAGAATTTCTAGAAGTTTTCCCAGATGACCTCCCGGACTTCCTCCTGAAAGAATCATAGAATTTGGCATTGATCTCATGCCAGGCACTCAGCCCATATCTATACCTCCTTATAGGATGGCTCCAGCAGAACTTAATGAGTTGAGGATACAGTTGAAAGACCTCCTTGGCAAGGGCTTTATCAGGCCGAGTGTTTCACCGTGGGGTGCCCCGGTCCTGTTTGTCAAGAAGAAAGATAGGTCTCTCAGAATGTGCGTCGACTATCGGCAGTTGAATAAAGTTACCATTAAGAACAAGTACCCACTGCCAAGAATTGATGATTTATTTGATCAACTTCAGGGTGCAAAGTACTTTTCAAAAATAGACTTGAGGTCGGGGTGCCATCAGTTGAGAATCAAGGAAGAAGATATATCTAAAACAGCCTTTCGAACTCGCTACGGGCACTATGAATTTCTAGTGATGTCCTTCGGGTTAACAAATGCTCCAGCTGCATTCATGGACCTCATGAATAGAGTTTTCAAGCCATTCCTGGATACCTTTATTATTATGTTTATAGACAATATTTTGGTGTACTCTAAGAGCAAGAAAGATTATACAGAACACCTTAGAATAGCCTTACAGACCTTGAAGGAGAATGAGCTTTATGCCAAGTTTTCGAAATGCGAGTTCTGGTTACAGTCTGTGGCATTCTTAGGCCATGTGGTATCTAGTGAAGGAATAAAAGTAGACCCTCAGAAGATAGAAGCAGTCAAGAACTAGCCTAGGCCGACAACGCCAACCGAAATCAGGAGTTTCTTGGGGTTAGCTGGCTACTATAGAAGGTTTGTAGAGGGGTTTTCTTCACTTGCAGCTCCATTAACTAAGTTGTCCCAGAAAGTAGTTAAAGAAGAGGTTGACCACTGCACCTATATTAACCTTGCTGATAGGTTCGAGTGGGTTCACAGTGTATTGTGATGCCTCCAGAGTTGGTCTCGGTTGTGTTCTTAATGCAAAATGAAAAAGTTATTGATTATGCTTCTAGGCAGTTAAAGAATCATATTAAGAACTACCCCACACATGACTTGGAGCTTGCCGCAGTGGTGTTTGTATTAAAAATATGACGACACTACCTTTATGGCGAGCATTCTGAAGTGTTTACAGATCACAAAAGCCTCCAGTACATTTTCAAGCAAAAAGAATTAAATTTGAGACAGAGAAGGTGGCTCGAGCTATTGAAAGATTATGACATCTATATCCGTTATCACTCGGGCAAAGCTAATGTGGTAGAAGATGCACTTAGTAGAAAGTCAACGGGTGTCTTGGCCCATCTTGCAGTACAAAGGCGATCTTTAGGTTGAGAAACTCAAAAACTAGCAAATGATGGAATTAGATTGGATGAGACCGAAGAAGGAGGTACAACCGCTTATGCCTTAGCGCAATCCTCCCTTGTTGCGCATGTTAAGGCTAAGCAAGACGAAGATCCGTACTTAGTGAAGTTAAAAGAAGGAGTCAAAAATAAAGAAATCACTGTTTTCACTCTAGGAAGTGACAGAGTTTTGAAGTTGAATGATCGGTTATGTGTGCCGGATGTAGATGGTCTTAGGAAGGCCATAATGGAGGAAGCTCATAGTTCGAGATACTCTATCCACCCAAGTGCTACCAAAATGTATCTGGACTTGAAAAAGTTGTATTGGTGGAAAGGCATGAAGAAGTAAGTAGCAGATCATGTGGCTAAATGTTTGAATTGCCAGCAAGTCAAAGCCAAGCATCAGAGGCCTGGTGGCCTAGCTCAAGATATAGAAATACCACAGTGGAAATGGGAGATGATTAATATGGATTTCGTAGTAGGTCTACCTCGCACAAACCGCAAGCATGATTCAGTTTGGATTATTGTAGATCGACTGACAAAGTCCGCTCATTTTCTACTAGTAAAGATGACAAATTCCGTAGAGCAGTATGCGCAATTGTACATCAAAGAAATAGTCCGATTGCATGGTATTCTAGTTTCAATCATATCTGACAGAGGCCCTCAGTTCAAGACGCATTTTTGGCAGGCATTTCAGAAAAAATTAGGTACCAAGGTCAATTTGAGCACCGCTTTCCATCCACAGACCGATGGTCAGGTAGAAAGGACCATTCAGACTCTCGAAAATATGTTGCGAGCATGTGTTATAGATTTTGGAGGTAATTGGGATGATCACTTACCACTTATAAAATTTGCTTACAATAACAGCTATCAGGCCAGCATCGGTATGGCTCCTAATGAAGCGTTGTATGAGCGAAGATGTAGGTCTTCAGTAGGTTGGTTTGAACCAGTAGAGGTGTCATTGATTGGTCCAGAGTTTGTTTGTGAGGCCTTAGAGAAAGTCCAGCTAATCAAAGAAAGACTAAAAGCGGCTCAGAGTCTTCAAAAGTCCTATTATGATAAGACGCATCGTGACTTAGAGTTCATGGTTGGTGGCAAGGTGTTTTTGAAAGTTTCACCAATAAAGGAGTTATGAAGTTTGGTAAGACGGGAAAACTTAGTCCTAGATTTATTGGACCTTATGAGATTATAGAAAAGAAGGGATACATGGCTTATGAGCTAGCGTTGCCCATTGAGTTATCCTCTGTTCATCTTGTCTTTCATGTGTCTATGCTTAGAAAGTACATTCATGATGAGTCGCATATAATACCTGCTGATACCATAGAAATTAAAGAAGGCTTGACTTATGAAGAGGTACCTATAGAAATTCTCGATGTGCAAGTAAGAAAGTTGAGAACAAAAGATTTAGCATCGGTAAAAGTTTTGTGGAGTAATCATTTTTCAAAAGAGGCTACGTGGGAGGTCGAAGAAGATATGAGGAAGAAATATCCATATTTATTTGAGTAACAAGGTATGTGAACCTAGGTTTGGCTTGACATTTATATTTTATTTATTAAATACAAGTTAGCAAGTGTTTATGTCCTTCCTAGATTATACTTAGTTGTTGTAGTAACTTAGTTTATGCCATAGTAGATTTAATTCATTAAAGTGATTGTACTTGTGCTAAAGTGTTGTGCTTTAGATTCTTGTTAGTTATTGTGGTACCTCCTTGCCGGAGTGTGAGTAATTAATTTATGAGTTGTGTATGGTGCCTATGAATAACATGTTATGGTATATTTGGTTGTTGTTGGTGTAGTTGTGGTATTTGTGACATGAATATTTTTTTGATAATCCAATTTACAAGGGAAACTCTACCGAAATTTTTGAAAATTTATGAAGTTAACCAAAATTTTGAGTCCCTTGGGAAAGTGAGTAGTCAAAGAAACTTAAGAGGTTCAAGGACCTAAGGAATGATTGTTAACTTAAGAATAAGGCCCTAGCAATATTCGAGGACGAATGCTTTTTTTAAGGAGGGAAGATTGTAACACTCCTCTAATTTATAAAAATTTCAAGACTCGCTAAATATAGAAATTATTTTTTTACCTTAAATTATACTTCTATTACAGATTAAAACCCTTGTGATTGATTTTGAGTCACTTATCTATTTATAAATAATTGGATGTACAATTAGGGAAATATCAATAATTTTAATATTATTAAATATTAGAAGTGAGTATCAAAAAAAAGGAAGCAAAGTAAGTTTTTAAGAATTTGGGCTTAAAGCCCATATAGTACTCCTCTGCCTCACGACCAAATCAAAGGCATAAAGCCTTGATGAAAGTCAAAACAAACCAAAATAAAAAAACACAAAAGCTTAAGAAACAAAATTGATGGAGAAACGCACGCACGGAAATAAGAAACAGAAGCAGCAAACAAGTCACGCAGTCAACAGAAAATCTAGGGTTCTTTACGAATCACTTATTCTTGAACTCAGGTATATAAAATTTCATATTTTCAATTATCCTAAAGTGGTAATAGGTAAGAATTAAATAGTTAATTCTCTTCTTCCTCTATCAACAGTAAATTCCATGTTTAGGTGTGAAACTTTAAAATTGATTAAAATGCAATGGTTGTTGTAGAATCGATTGTTTGACGGATATAAATTGAACAGGGGGTCTACGTATTGGCTCAAGGAGTTTTGAGGTGAGTTGATATAACCCTTTACTAAAGTGGTTTAACTCACAAAAGCATGCATACAAAGTGTTTGATGAATTGCATAAAAGAATTGATATATACTTAATTGGAGTGAGTAAGAACCTATTAGCTTAGAATTATTTTCTAACTAAAGTTTAGATGATTATTTTGATATATGTGCATAAATTCTCAGATTTTTGTGTTATTCTTATATGCCATTTTCATGTTGAAAATTTATGAAAGAGCAGAAATCTTTATAAATACTTTTAAATGTTTATTTCATTATTATGCCATGCCTTACATTTAAGGATACTGGTATGAGTATGTGTAAAAGATTTAGACTTGAAAAGTCACAAGAAGAAGTTTTAGAAAGAAATTTTTTTTGGGAGTATCCTTTATTCTGAGAAGGGGTCATCGTCCAGACCGAGGGTCCTGACCAAGGCGTTGACTTCCTGAAACTACTTGTGCCAAAGTAGGGAGCACACGAGCCGAGGGTCTTGTTGCTGAGAATTTATTTAGCCATGCTAAGCTATGATACATGAGCGCTGAGAACCATGAAGCGAGTGACACCTCGTGGATTGGGCCTATTCGATTAGGTTGGGATCGAACCCGTGCCGATCACACAGTGACTGAGACAGAATTAAGTCAGGATAGTTGGAACTCCCAAAGTATAAAGTGAAATATTTTTTATAAGTAAGAAAAAGAAAAGAATTTCTTTTAGAATATTCATAAACTGCTATTGTGCAATTATTTAGAATTATTCTTATAAGCTTTATGTTTTGCATGCATTTAGAACCTTTGCTCGTAATGTATGTGATATTAAAGTTTCGCCCCCTGTTGTTGAGACTTACTGAGTACAATGGATGATACTGACGTTCTCTTTTGGGAACCTACGTTTGTCTGCGGTACAACGTAAGAACCGGTTTTGCAGGCGAGCAGGCTACAAGTTAGGACTTCCTTCTCTTCCAGTGCTATTGGTAAGCTCCGTTTTTGTTCGTGGAATATTCCTTAGAGTCATTTTTATTTATCTATTTCTTCGTTTACTTAGAGAACTGGCCAGAAAATCTCATGTCCTGAGCAGTGCATCAGTTTATCAGTAGAGGCTTCATAGACATAGTCATTGGGTTAAGATTCAGATGTTTTTGATAATAACTTAGCAGTAATTCAGTAGTTACTATGAATAAAGTGTTGGAGTTGATTTATTTAAATATTTAAATTAATCAAAAGTATTTGGTTGAAATATTGCCTTGTTGCATATAAAGTTTGGAGTTATAATAGATTTAATAAGCAGAAATGGTTCGCTCGATCATGTTTAGTGATCGATTACCGGTCTCGGCATGTTCAGAAAATGGATCGTGACAAAAAGGGACATATCTTCTACAAGGATGAAAATTGGTGTGAATTAAAAAGGTAAAAATAAGAAAGGTTACCCTTACTAGTGCTCAAGTAATTTTATCTATCTTTTACCACTTTTCGCTCTTTAAGAAAAAAATCTTACTTCACCTACAAGGGTTATAGTTGAGTTGGTAAGTACTATTTCATCATTAACCAGATGTCTCGAGTTCAATTTTTGTGTTTGGAGTTACCTTTGTGAGGGAGCACTTCAACCCCCACCCCTTAATGTGGGACTTTTCGGCGCGAATCCGAATTTAATCGATCCCAAATGCGGATACCGAACACCGGATGAGAAATTAAAAAAATATCTTACTTTTAATCACAAAAGTATTTGTTTAAACTACTATTTATCTCTCTTTAAACATTTCAGTCAACTAACATTCCACAAACAATAAGAGTAAATGAATGACTTTTTTTTTAAAACGTCAAATAAACAAATTCAATCTTGTAAATTGATAATTGGGAACGGAGATAGCAGTGTATTTAGACAGTAACCAAACAATAAGATCAGATATAAAAATCAATATTATAGGAATCATGATGAACCTATCTCGCCTTTTTCAGCTAACTTCTTTTTGCTTAATGTAGGTAGCACAAGGCTCCAAGCTAACTTAATCTTTTAAGCCTTAAAGTTCGTCAGAAAATTAAAAAAATAGCAAAGCACACGAAATATTCTTAATTGCTCGATAAGATTCTCAAGAAAAAGTTTTAATTATTCGATAAATGTCTAATAACCACCACTAGCTAACATGATAGTTAATAATAAAGCCTCGGATACTTTAATCTCAAAAGTCTCAACCCACTCCCCTTTGCTACAAATATTATTAAAGGACTCATAAAAAATTACTCTACTAATGAATAATGATAAAGTTCGATTAAAAGATATTTCGATCACTTCTACTTGACATATATACTAAAAATAGATTTTTATTTTTACTTGTCACTATACACATATCAAGAGAATATAAGTTTTTTTTTCCTGTTATAACCACAGTATTTATTACTCATTTCAAATTATTTTTCAAATTCAATAAAATATGTATCAATTAATATGGATATCATGGTAAATTATGCACTTCATTTATTATTTCTTAAAGGGTGTAAAAAATCAAAACGTGTCAAATATAAGTGAACGGAGGGAGTAAAAGCTAACTACGGGTATCTTTTAGGTGCTTATCCTGAATTCCTGATTTTCTCACTGTATGTAGTTTTTCTATTCCTTAAAGGAAGGACAATATATTTACCGTAATTAATTTTTCCTTTTACGAAAAAGAAAATATAACTATTCAATACTTGATTAGTTCTTTTTCTTGGAGGAAAAAGTCTTGACTTCTATAAATTAATGATCATTTCTTTTCGTTTAGTAGCATCTACAATAGCGTAAGGCGTTTGAGAGTCTTGTTTACAGAAGAATTTTGGGACAAATGTTAGCCTGCGATTTGTGTGTGCCTTTTTGTGAGGTTATTGTTGAAATGTCAAAATTTCAGATTCCCACATCGGTGGGTTAGCAATAGTTGGGGGGATTT